GTTCGCTGTTCTTTGTTTATGCGGGAAATGCATAAGTCGCTTAAACAACTTGTGATTGTGTTTCCGCCTTGATTCCAGATGAGGATTTGCGTCAGCTTAAAACTGTAGGTACATTTCTCCTTCTGCCGAACATCACAAATTAAAAGAGGAGCTCGGCAAAATACTTAACAAAAATATTACCGCTAAATATTCATTCATCTGTATATACATAAGAATCCCACAAGGGGATCCCATTCCGAATGATGTACTTAAATTCAAATAGCATTTCAAATAGCTTATAGCATAGACAGACGGCAACGTTAATACGGTTTAAAGGTTAAATCATCTGAGAGATTAAGCCGCGAGGTCGTGGGCGCGTACCCAAAAATTACCGAAATTTATCACTCGAGGGCCAAGTAGAGGATCGTATAGGATTACTAGGCTGTTCTGGATGTTCTACGACCCACTCAAAATCAAAGTTCTCTTTGGAATGAGCACAGAACTTAATCCTTACATGTCGAAAGGATTGGATTGCCCTTTAATAGGTCTGTCGCAGTTGCGATGATCTGGGCTCAAAAGATACAGTGGAACACTTCCTTTGCGAGTGTCCAGCCCCCCAAAAAGATGGGGCTAAAGACACACGGCAAACAAATTCGGCAGAATATTTCTAAGTGCAGCTGTCTGGAATAAAAAAAAAACTGAAAATCCGCATGTTTCTTTTCTTCCTTTTTCCTTTAAAAACAGCTATTCCAGACCTTAATTGTACAAAAAGTCTCTTACCTTATAAAGATATTTCGTATTTCGTTCACTCCTGGGCATGCCTTGAGATCATTATCCTATTGCATAGGACCCTGATGAACGCTTGACTGTATTAAAAGATAGCTAAGTACATATATAATCGGTTTTGAAACTATTTTCAAGATTTAGTCTGGCACACGGCAGCACTAGTGATGGTTCTTTCCTTCATCTTTTACCCGGATCAGAGTGTGGCGAAAATTCAAAAATGCGGCCTAAGGTTTAAGGAAATGATTAGAAATTTCGTACTAGGGGGTTTTCGAAGTCGCTAATTACGAATCCGTTATTAAAAAGCTAGAAATTTGTACATGGAGGTGAAGCTAATATGTATAAGCGTTAAAAAAAACAAAAAAAATATAAGGAGAAGAACTGAACATCTGAGTTTTGTTTTATTCTATAGCTAATACTTTTTACTTAAACTTCAATTGCTTTAAAGGCAGCATCTAACGGCGTGTTGTTGCTGTTGCCACTGGTCTACAAATTTCAACTTTTTTTCTGCGAATAAGACGGGACCTGGTGTTTCTGAACGGATTTTTCGTGCTGAACACGAATCCGGGGTCAAAAATGTCCCATCACGTCACGTTTTCGAGAAAAAAGGGGTTGAAACCCCTAAAAACAGCGTTTTTGGCCATTTTCGAAAAATTATAGAGCTGAACCCTGACGTGGTACAAATTTTGCATATATCAGAAATTAAAGGCTAAACCGTGCCCTTTCGAATGAGCCCTATGCCGAATTGATCGCGTGCACCCTTAAAGCAGGGGGTGTATTTGTGTTTAGGGGTGCAGGAAAAATTGATCACAGAAAGAATTTAATCTTAAACGATCATAGAAAATTAATAATGCCAAGGGCCGCGATGCTGGGAACAGAGGAAGAGGAAGGCCTCCTCTGCGTTGGAAAGACCAGGTGGAGAAGGACTTGGCTTCACTTGGCATTTTCAATTGGCGTCAGTTAGCACAGAAGAGAAATGACTGGCGTGCTGTTTTGGACTCGGCCAAAATCGCTTAGGCGGTTACAGCGCCAAATAAGAAGAAGAAGAAGGTTTTAACTATATTAAAAGTCGCTGATTACGAATCTGCAGTTAGATTTTAAAAATTTAAGATGACGGGTCGAATATGGTGGATATAAAAATTGGACTCCTAGACACAAATACACCCCCTGATCTAAGGGTGCATGCGATTAATTCGGCATAGGGCTCATTCGAAAGGGCACGATTTAGCCTTTAATTTCTGACATATACAAAGTTTGTAGCACGTCAGGGTTCAGCTCTACAATTTTTCAAAAATGGCCAAAAACGCTGTTTTTAGGGGTTTCAACCCCTTTTTTCTCGAAAACGTGACGTGATGGGAAGTTTTGGACCCCAGATTCGTGTTCAGCACGAAAAATCCGTTCGGAAACACCAGGTCCCGTCTTATTCGCAAAACCCTTGTAGACCAGTGTAATGTTTTGGATTCTAAGGTTATCTGAATAGACATTATCTCCGAGAAGACTCGTACAAGCTTGCCACCTATTCGAAATTAGTTAAAATTTAATCAAAACATCATAATATGGGTATCAAATGGAAGGTATTTTAAAGATCCCTAATTCAAAAAGATTTTTGAAGGTTGCCACCTATCTTGAATCGCATATTTATTTAATTTTTTGTTTACAAAAAAAGCTAAAATATTACTATTCATTGGTACCAAACGAAGGTTCTTAAACAATGCTTTCTCTATATATAAAATGTTATCTCTTAGGATAATAGTGTAAGGTTGCCACTTATTTCCGATTATACACAATTTATCTAAAACATCGCAATATGGGTATCAAATGAAAGGTATTGTTGAGAACTTTGGTCAGAAAATATTTTCCATCAGGATTGCCAGGGTTCTATGTAATAAAAATTTGTATTTTGTTAATTTCAATCGACATTTTTTTATGTATACACAGTACACATATGCTCAAGATATGTACCATTCATTCCAGCGTATTTCGGAATAGGGTTTCCACCTAAATTTTAGAGTAGGGAGGAATTTACTTAATAGATATCGAAAACCTATTTTTTGTTTATTTCCAAAATATTTTTTTAAAGCTATCCAAATCTTGAAAACTTTAAAAAGTACATATATGCACTCCGGGCAAAGCTCGGTCAACCTGGTACTGAATATAAAGAGAGTACTTAGGGTACAGGTCGTTACAGTAAACAGTTTTCGCTTCTTAGGTGATCCCTTTAGTCAACTCAATGTCTAAAAAGGCCTATCTAGCAACTTTATTTTCTCGCACTGTGCGGCTGTGTACCAAGGTACATACCTGGAGATCAAAGAGAGACATGCATACATTTGACCAGATCTCTCGATCTCGATCTGAGATAATGATCTGAAATTTTCTGCTTAAACTGATTACTTTTAGCAATGAGTCAGAGAAAACTCGCATCCTTTCAACCTAGTGTTTTACCTATTTTTTTAAACTCCTCTAGAATTGAAAATATTCAGAAAACTTAAGTGGGGGTAATCAAGTGTCGCAAACTGTCGCGAAGTATATATGTAAATAAACCAAATATATAAAAAATAAAAGAAATATAACTTTTTATCTTACACATAAATAGGAATATAATTTTTAAAAGTTGCGCGCAGTAGGGATCGAATCTGGGTTCTACTGAGTTTGCAGCACACTGATCTGACCCACTCGACTACCGCGGGCGTCGAACTCGTTTGCTTTGTTTGTTTATTGTTTGCTTCATTTATTCTTCATTCACAATAGACCACAGCTGGACGTTGTGGTCAGTGTTGTCATCGAAAATGCCCCTAATCTGCATTTAGTTCCAGAATTAACTCTATCCTGCAGATAATTCCGAATTAACGAGATATGTAATTTCGCTCAACGCTGCCGTCTACGATTTCAGCCTTAGTTTAGCATTGATTCAAATAAGCACTTTTCCCTTTTTGTCCCCCCAAATTTAACGGAAACATTCCATAATCCAAAGCGATTGCATTAATGAAATCAAACACCAAAAAAAAACTGTCATTAAAAACTATGTACATACGTGAAAAAGGCAAAGAGAATTAGCAGCGCAGCATCACATAGAGACCTGCAAGCAAATTTATAAACTTTTATATGTATGTTTACTTACTGATATTTATTTGCTCACTGAGAAGTTAAGTGCAAACCACAATGAAACCAGAAATGTGTTCCGCGCATCAAATAGCATATTTTTAGCGAAGCGTGCAAACATAACTGAACCACATACAGTCAGTGTTAAAAGTTAGTACACACATTGTTCTAATATAATATTCACAATTATTTTCATGATTTTTTTTTTCATTAATTTTTTATGAAGTTATAGTTCATTCTATACATAAACTATAAACATCAGAGTTTCACAATTTTTATGAAATTCACAAAAATTAAAAAAAAATTCTAACAACAAAGTGCAAGTCGCTAAAAATTACCGTTATTTAAAACAAAACAAAAAAACGTGGTAAAGATAGATTTTGATCATGCGTTATATGGAAGAAAGTGCGCAACAGACTCCACAAAAAAAAATTAAAAAAAATCAACAGTAATTTTGAGCGAGTTGAAACTTGCACTTTGTTGTACTAACATTGAATGCACACTCGAAAATTCTCTAGAAATTCTGAACAAAAATTTTGAAATTGCGATGCAAATATTAAAATTTTTTTTTTTAATTTTATGTAAAGTGTTTAACTTTTATTTTTACAGTTTATGTTGTAGAGTTAATTATATTTTCATAAAAATATATATAAAATATATTTCATAAAAAAATTTCATGAGCAAAATTTCAAGGCACAAGGTGTACATACATAGGTATACTAACTTTTCATACTGACTGTACTACATACTTACATATGCACGTAAGTAAATTTGCTTAGGTATTATTGATTAACATAAAAGAAGCGGCGAATCTTTCGATCTTTGATCGTTTGAAAAATTAAAAAAAAAAATTAAATTTGTATATTACTTGAGAAAAATGGAATCTACGCAGTTTAAAGCAGAATCGGCAGCAACAAAAGCAGCAGCAACAACCGCGACGCAGCACTCATACACACACGCACATAAAAAAGAATACGCAAAAAACAAGCGTAAATTTTAAACAAACTGTCGCGTTACTCGCCACACTGCATACGATTACTTATTTAAGAAATTGTTTGACTGATTATTGCTTTAATCGCTGTTTTGTTTCTTTCTAGGAATAATTCCAACTGAAACTGCATCCTCTCTGTGTGTGTGTTTAGCACACGTGTAGTGGAATAATTAGCTGAAAGATCAATATCTAAAAAACATCAACAACACATACTAATTAGCAACAACAACAACAACAACCAAAATTCAACACTTACAATAAATAAACAAAAGTTTTATTTCTTCTGTTTGTGAGAAACAATGCTAAAAAGGATCGGCAAAAATATTTTAATATTTTTCAAAAGCAAAAAATTTTTATGATTTTTTGAATTTTGTTTCGTTTTTTTTTTTTGTTTTTGCTCGATAAGATTCGTGCCACGACGATCACTTCAGAGGCAGCTAATCAATTGGTGCGCAAAGTGAGGTGTGCGTAAATAACGGAACGAGACGCGTTGCGGCTCTTGAGCCCCTCGACGAAAATAAAGCGGAAAAAGAAAAACAATAAAAAACACAACAACAACACATATGGTGTACACAAATAAATATTCGCGCGTGTGCCGTTAGTTTTACAAAATAAATTAACGGAAAGTTGCAAATAAATTAACTTTAAAAGCATGCAAATTTGTGGTAATTTAAAAGTAAGAATATAATTAGTGAAAATGTGTCAAATGGCAAGAATAGCATAACCAAAATTGAAAAGTGCCAGATCGATCGTACGTGATCGCAGCGATCGCGTGAAGTGTGAAGAACTACTGTGAAGAGAGAGAGAGAGAGAGAGAGAG